AATGCCACAGCTTAACTATTAGCGGGAGCTCAACAGAACATGCATATTACTCCGATTCTGCAGACATTCCATTGGCTCTCCATTTATTACCAAGCTCAGCTTAAGGTATTGGCTATCACATACAAAGCCCTTCATGATCTTGGCCGCTCTTATTTGCAGGACTACCTCTCCCCCTATGCTCTGCCATGACAACTCTGCTCCTGTCAGCAGGGGCCTTTGCAGGTGCTAACCTGCAAATAGGCAAAATCAACAACTGCTCGTACACGTGTAGCTTTCTCCCTTGTGGCTCCCACCTTGTGGAATGGCCTGCCCAAGAAGGTCAGGAAAACTCTCACTCTCCTGGCCTTCCTCAAACTATGCAAAACTGAACGATTCAAGAGGGTTTTTCTGCACACATATTAATAAGGCTGCACCGTACAAGCTTACTTGGATAAATGATTAGGACTCGTGGTCTATGCCACTGTGTATAACATATTGTGAGTAGGATTCTATTCTGTAATTTCTGCATTAATACTTATGCTATGCTTCAGTTCTTTCCGGTGGTTCCAGACTTCTAATATCTAATGCAGGTCCAATTTTGTTGACTGTACTGATTTACTATGCGTAATTTACCTTGAATCCCTTTTGAGAAAGGTGGACTATAAATAACATAAATAAAAATAAATAAATACACTAAATGTAACCATCCATCTACTATCACACAGTTTTTTCAATTTAACTGCACATGGATGTGTACTTTCTGCACATAAAGTCCAAAATATACTGAATCACTCCATGTTAAAAAATGTGAGATGAAGCAACCCTGGTCTCCCTATCAAGGGTTAATATGAATAGTAACAGGCCTAGTTCATCTTGCTGGTGTTAGTAATTGGTTCCTTGCCTGTGCAGTTCTTATCATCTTCAAGGCCAGAGGTGGAGGTGGCTTGATTAGCTTCTCATGGGAGCCTGCAGCCCATAAAATGGGGGAGAAGAGCCAAGGGTGATGAGGTAATTTTCTAGAGGTTTCTCTGGAGAAGATGTTTTGATTGGACATTCCCCTCACTTGATGTTGCTGGGCCAAAAACTATAATTTAGCTAAGGCCCAGAAGGAAAGAGACTAGCTGAGATTCTGCTGGACTGAAGGCCTAAACTCCATGAGCTGCCTGAACTGCAATTCCTAGTGACATAGAGAACGTCTGAGCTTTGGCCTTTGCTTTTGGAAACTAAGGTTTGTGCTGTCTACTGCAAGCTCTAAAAGTGTTAGACAGTTGAGCTAGCTTCTTTATTTTCTTCCTGTATGACTTAAGTGCAGTGTGTTGGCTACAGAATAAACCCTGGGCCAGAGTCCAAAATTATTATTATTTATTCAATCAAATACATTTAATTAAATAAATAAGCTATATAAAATCTTTTTAAATAAACCACTGTCTGATCACTTGTGTGCAACTGCCCTGGAGACACACCGGGTTCAGGTGTGACCTCCTTGACAAAAACACTAAATAAAACTCAGACCCAGAGTCTTCCTTTTGGGAAACTGCAGACAGCTTGCCTTCCTGTGATAGCATACCTGGGGATTCAATGGGATTCAAAAACTTTTAGCGGCACCGTAAACAGAGTTACACACCCTTTTAGGTTCACTGATTTCAATGGTCACAGAAGGGTCTAACTCTGTATAGGATGGTGCATTTACACACTTCCCCTTGCCACACTACTCACCAATGCTGTCAGGATTAAACTAAATGTACAGACATTACACCTACCCTTGCCTTTCACAGCCTTCATAATTAGTGATGACAGATGAGGCTGCAAAACCCATCCAAGCACACATTTATAAACAGCTAACCTTGTATGACCCTGTGTAGTATAGTGGTTAGAGTGCTGGACTAGGAGCATAGAAATTTAAGACCAAATCCATTCTTGCCATGAAATTTACTTGGTGATCTTGGACTATTTCTTCTCAGCTCAATCTACCTCACAAGGCTGTTGTGATTAGGAGAGGAGAAGCACACAACCCACACTGAGCTCCTTGGAAGTAGGGTGGGATAAAAATAAATAAAACAAACACACTGAAAGAATAGATTACAGTTCTTTCCCTGCTTCAGGGAGCTCTGATCCAAAAATTTTGTTGGTCTCTCAGGTGTTACTGGACTCAAATCTAGCTGTTCTACTGCAGACCGACACGGCTACCCTCTGAAACTACATTCTTATTAAACATGATAGCTTTGCCCTTGCTAACACAAGAGACCATTCTAAGAAGGGACCCTACACAACGGAGGCAAAGTTGGCCATTCCTTTGAAATGTTTAACTTACACCCAGACAGACGGGTTTCGAAGCCAGAGATTCTGCTACAACTGATCCCCGTCCCTTTTGCCAGTTCACTAAAGGTAACAACCAGACAGAAATTACATGAGGGGGGAGATCGCGTAAAGCGCTGCTCCTGTGGACTTCAGAACATGGGAAGGATCATGGAGGAAGACGGTTGCCTTTCACTGTCCCTACTCTTCGCCCACTGCCCACCACCACCCGAAAACAAAGGGAAGGCAGAGCTTGCCCTCTTCTCCCCTCCCTCCCACCCATACCCCTTCAAGCAAGCCAATCCTCTCCTCCTCCCCCCAGGAAACAGCCTGTGCATGTTATCGAGTGGGCGTGAGGATGGAGCGGAACCCTTCGGCAGAGCTGCCTAGCGGCGCCCCTCCCCCGCTCCCCCGTCCATTATCCTCCGCTCCCGCGACTGCTGAGGTCGAGGGCGCTGCTATTGTTGCCTTCCTACCTGTTTGGCGAGAAACCTGCTGAGCTCGCCGCTACTCCTCTCATTCCTCTGTGCTACCAGCTGCAGCGGAGCCGCCAGGCTGAGCCTCAGATTCTCCATCCTCCGGGGCGGCGGGCTCCTCGCTGCCACAGACTGGAACGGGGGCGTGCGTCTCAAGCCAACCACCGCCACCCGCGGCTACGACCGCGACACGTGGGAAAGAAAAGGGACTTTCGTTTTCCCAGTTATGCGTCGCGTCATCTTTCGGCGACACGGGCTTCCCCCTCTCCCGCCCCTTTCAGACAAAACTACTAATCCCATAGCGCAACGCGCCATCTCGCCTTCAAATCAAATCCCATACATGAATCAACGTCTTGCATGCTGGGATGAATAGGCTAGGATTCCGCTCCTCTCTTCAAACGGATATCGTGGCTTTCTATTTCTGTCACGACAAGCGCTGGCCTGGCTTCTCTGTCCGCCCAACTTGTTTTGTTTTTCGGTTGTTTGCTACGCTCGAAGTGCAGCATGTACTACTGAAAGCGATAGAAAGACCAGAGTAGTCATACAAGGAACCACCAGCCGGCTTTCCTGTCAACAGAAGTGTTAGCTGAGAGAGCTACCAGATAAGTAGTCTTACTGAGAAAACCAGGGTTCGATTAAATCACGACACGAATATTCTGAAGTACGGGATTTGAAAGGCTACCATCTGGATATAGTTTGTCGCAACTCATCACTCACTTCAGTCAGCAGACTGCAATCAAAATTTACAGTGTCGGAGATGGCAATGGATCCATAATTACAGGACTTACTTCCAATTACTCTGCATCGTTCTGCAAAGAGGTGGGCTTAAGAAAGCGGGAGAAGCATTGCCGTGCACAAGATATGTAGCGCTGGTGCCAGGCTTATGTCACAACAAAATCTGTCACAAAACTCTTCTTTCATTTAAAACCGAGGGTTATCTTTACATAATTTTTTACAAACATGTTTAAAGCAGTAAAACAATAAAACAAATCAGTTTTATTTAAGAAATAGCCCTGAGTTAAAAGTATGCACATTTCAAACTCCAGGAGTAGGAACCTGTTTGTTGCGGTTTTTTTGTTTGTCATCTTGCACTAATAATGCAATCCCAACAAAACTCTCCTATGAGTATGTCCAGCTGAATAGATGTTTAGGATTGCTCTCTGACTCATAATGGCTTCAGGTAAGGCAGCCGTGTTGGTCTGAAGCAGAGGAACAAAGTCTGAGTGCAGTGGGGCACCTTTAAGACCAACAAAGTCTTATTCACCGTATAAGCTTTCGTGTGCAAGCACACTTCCTCAGATACAGTGAAACAAAACCTCCTCAACTATTACTTACAGGGGGTGGGTGGGGTTTGTCAGGATCGGCCATTTAGAGTCAAGATGCGTAAGTACAGGGTGATTATAGCTGAGATTGGATGTAAGAAAGATCGATCTGTGAATGGCAGTAAATTAGCATACAAATACAAGAGTTAAACAGATGTGGGAACAGAGGGAATATTTACAATGGCATAAGAGTTCATGGACTAGAACCCGTGTCGTCAGATGCATAAACTACATACCTGGGTCTGGTAACAATTTTTAACGCAGTGAAAGCGTCTTTGCCCTGTGACTGTAGAATTTGCTAAACGCAGTTATAATACAAATGCTTATACTGGGATAAAATCAGAGAGCCATCCTACCCAGCTCTATTCAGTTGGATTTATTCCTACGAAAATGGATTGCATTGTTAGTCTTCAGCATGCCACAGACCCATCTTAAATTTTAACCGCCCATTATCGACAACAGCAAAAGGAATTCAACGGTGCTTTAAAGACATGAGCACTAGATAGCCAGAAAAAGTGAACTCCGACTCACGAAAGATTATGCTAGAATATGTTTTGTTAAACGTTAAAGAGCCACTGGACTCCTGTTTAATTTTACTTTTATTTAAGGGGGGGGGGGACAACAAACTGATCTGAGGGAGACTACCAGTTGCAACCAATCAAGAGGCGTCTCTGACTAGCGTACGGAGAAACCTCCTTTTTAGAAGAGGCAGGTTTCGGTCTTATCAGCCGCCCACATTTTAAGAAGAATTCAACTTCACTCCAAGGGGCGGGGTTTGACGCTTCCTTTTGGCGCCAACTGCTTTTGTGGGGAAGGAGGGATCCGCCCGTGTCGCGGCAGGGTGCGTGCTAAGGCGTCTTAGCGGATTGGCTAGGTGTCTGCTTAGCCCCACCCCTTCAGTTTGGCCCGTGGGTGGAAAGGAAAGACAGGGGAGGCGTCTTGGGGGAGCTGTAAAGGCGCCCGCTGAACGAAAGTGACGAGGACGGTGAGGAGGCAGGCCGGACAGGTCACCCCGGTTTGTTAAGGGGGGGCGGGGGAGTGGTGGAAGTATTGGGGTGGGGAAACTGATGTAGGCTCTTCCTGTCCCCAGCCTCTGTTACACTTGCCGGCCCCCCGACATCACTAGTGCCCAGCCAGTCCCGCCCCGGTTTCCTCATATCTTGGATTCCCCCCCAGTAAATATTCCTCCAAGATACATCCCTCTCCCCTTCCAGTCTCGCAGCTCCACAAGTCCCCACACACACACACAGGCCGATGTAATCTGAAAGCAGGACAAACCAGCAGCACTAGCTCAAATATCTCTTCAAGCCACACCAGGCCTTAGCACACAAAAGCATACGCAGAGTGCCCGTTTTGGGTTAAGACCCAATTGGGGAGGAGAGAAATAATTCAGATAGACTAGGTAGTGTGTGATTCACTAGGTAGGGTTGGGTTTGGCTGTAAGCCCATTATCACAACGTCGTCTCTGTATTATTTCAGGAATATGATAGGTTGTGTATACAGGTTATGAAGTTGTGTATACAGGATGATTGTGTGTGTGGAAGGGTATTAGAAGGTTACACTGGACTCAGAAATGATGTTTGAATTCTGCCTCATGTGAGTCCCTCACCATCTGAGATTAGTGTAAGGTGAAAAACCAACTTTTCCAGGTGAGCCCTGCCATCTTTTGATAGTTCATTTGTTAGTATACATTGTCTCCTATTGTCTCTGTAGTACCCTGCCACCATTCCCCCTTCTCCTGTTTCTTTGCTTCTACCATCAACTTCTGCCATGTTAACTCAAATTCTTCCCCACAGCCTAGACTGCCATCTCTGTTTATCTGTCTCTTCAGTAGTTCTCAGACAGTGCAAGACTTGTGAAGTCACTGGCTATCTAGATAACAAAAGTTTGCTGTTTAGGAACGGGAAAGGTCATTATGACATTTACAAAAATATATAATGCCTGTCTTAATAAACACTTTTAAATTAAGATCCCCCCATTTTAATATTATACATCCACCCATCTGGAAAACCTTGTATGTCAAAAGCAATCTAGCTTCCCCTGAGATGTAATGTCTTTGATGTTCATAACTTATATGTTCATTTTTAAACCTAACAACCTTGATTTTCTCTCTTACTGTAGATGGTGAGTACCTAGAAAGGCAGTATAATGGCAACAGAAGAAGATGATGACGATGATGCAGTGACATTTTCTAGTGGGTTGTGTGGTGGTAAGTGTCTTTTTTCTGACTGGTCATTTTATGTTTTGTAATGTGTATATTAAAAAGCTTCATACAATCTTTGAGAGAAAACTGTAGGGTTTTTTCCTAAAGAATTAGCACACATAGACTCTTATGTGTATTTTGATGTTCTATAGTATGCCTAACGCTGTCCTTGTTATTTTTATGAAATTCATTGGTTTACACCCTTCAATGTAGTAGTACTACAGGGCAGAGGAAGAAGGGATTGCTAATGGTCTCAGTGTATGGCTTAGAGTCTCACTGGCCTTTGGGAGACGAGTTGTGGTGGCAGGTATAGGATACTGTGTGAGGCTGTAGTATAGTTGCTATGTTTTGTTATGTCATGCCATAATTTCTGACCCACAGCCAGCCAACTGAACCCACTTCTCATATATCTTACCTAGATATTGGAAACAGCGCTCTCCAGTGTGCCTGGGATATAAGCTAAGGTGTGTCTAGGATAGATGCAAAAGACATGAAATAACACATTTTGGGTTGATTCCATCATGTGGGATTATAGATTCTTAGAGAACCTACAAATTAGGAGAAAGTGTGAATAACATGTGCTGCAGATTTCTATGGAATTCTGTTGTGCTTTTCCTTAGCTGCACTATTGCCACTCATACACATACATTTGATCTTGGCACTTGCTTAAGATGGGGCATAAGGTAATAATTTTAAGTAAAAAGCAGTAAAATCGGGTTTTAAAGAAAATATTGCTGAACTTTTATTTTTGATTTTCAGTGTCTTAATTGTTCTGAAAACCCCATGAGTAAAAGAAGTGCAAAGCAACCAGTCCAATGGGGAGTGGGAGTAGGAATGAAGGTTGACTGAAGAGTCCACTAAAAACTCAGATGAGGCTGGGTGCTTTTGCTGTGTGTATCTTGTAAATGTTTGCAAATATCTAACACAAGCCATTTTAATTCTTAGTCCTTTGTATTGGAATGGAATTGCAATGGAATTTGTATTGGAATGGAATTGCAGTTTAAGCCATAAGAGGTTACTCTCCCTCTCAAAAAACCCCACTTTGGTTGCATTCACACTTAACAGCATTAAGTGAACACATGCATAAACTTGGTTTGTTGCATGATACTACTAAAATAAATACATATAGTAGGGGATCATCTATGCACCTTGCTTCTCTCTCATTGCAATTTAAAAACTAACTGAGATGTACAAATGCAGGCACATTGGTTAATCAGAGTTAAAGTACAATTCTAAGAGCATTTCCCTGGGAGTAACTCCCATTGAATAGATGTGCATAGGATTCTGCTTAGAATGGTGCTGTTGCTTAGTTACCTTGTAGGCCTGCACTTATGTGCTATACATAACTAGAGCCAGTGTTTAACCACAAATGTCCATGCGAGTGGAGAGGAGTAAGGCAACAAGTTCATGCATACTTTTACTTAACTATGATTAAGCCTGATGATTGAATCCAGCCTTGGTTTTTCATTATAGGTTAGATAAAGGTTCTTTACCTCATTATCATTGTAAATATTTCATTTAGAGGGATTTGTTTGTTATCCATTCCTGAAACTTTTTGCTATCATTGCAAAGTCTTGATGACCTACATGTTCTTTATTGCCTTTGTTGCAGTTTCCCCTGGTAGAAGAGAGGATAATGATGAGAGTTCAGTGGATATTTATGACGGGTTAGACAACACTCCAATTGTTTTTGGTATGTTTATAGTGAAAAACTTGTGCTGCTTGGTTTCTTGCTGTTACCAAGAAGATTTCTTTTTCTTTTTGTCATGGCAAGTTCCTGTGTATGTGGACTGTCCACTAATAGTAACTTGTAGCAGTGCATATTAGGCGACACACCCCTAATGTAGCCAATCCTCAGAGAGCTTACAGTAGCCCCTGTAAGAAGAGCTCTGTAAGCTCTTGGGGGATTTGGCTACATTAAGGGTGCGTTGCCTAATATGCAAAGGAGTTCCTGCTACAAAAAGAGCCCTGTATACCAAAAATAGGTATATATGAAAAACTGTACAACTATTTCTTCTTTTATCATTAACTGAATGCTGATTATAACTTGGGAGAACCAATATGGTGTAGTAATTAGAGCATGCAACTAGAAGCAGTGCTTGGCCCAGTGAATACCTTGGGCCAAGCACTGTCTCTTGGCTTAACCTGCTTCAGAGAACTGCTGTGAGAATAACTGTAAGGGGGAAAATCAAAATATGTTAGCCTAAGCTCTTCTGAAGCTGAATAAAAATGATTTTTAAAAAGTTTTAAAATGCCTGTTTTTAAGAATGACAAAGTGGTTGTATCTCCCATTTTGCTGTAGGCAATTGTATAGTCCTGGGTTTCAGGGGCTGGATATTGCAGTTTTCCTTTGCCGAATTGTGGTCCTGTTCACACGAGGCAATTTGGCCCGGGAGCAGGACAGTTCGGGGGCGGATCAAACCAGCGCGATCACACCACAACATCTGGGAAGCGTCGTGCTTCCGCCCCCGAACTGGACCTTCCCGGGAAAAAGCGCCTCAAGTTGACACCACCTACCTCGGTGGTTCAACGAGTAGACGTGCTGCAATCCAGGCGTCTGATCGCCGGCGCTCCCTTGTGCCGGCACAATCCCGGCCCGGAGCCGAACTGCGCATGCTCCGACATGCGCAGTTCGGCCGGCACCCGGTCTGAGCCATGTCTTCTCCCCGGCGTTTGATCGCGCCGGGGAGAAACGGCGCCGCGGCCAGGGGATCCGTGGGATCCCTCCGCGGCGCCTCAACGTTGGCGCGGCTTTTAAAAGCCGCGCCTCAAGAAGCTTTTTTCCTGTCGTGTGGCAGGGGCCTGTGTAGTAACATGGATAGCTACAAATCAGCCCATGTGAATGGAGTATCTCCATTTTGGCTGTTGTGAGACATTTGGTGGATAACTCTATTCTGAATTGATTCCTCATGTGAAGACTAATATGAAGAATTCTAAAGATACTTGCTTTAGCTCAAAATTCACCTTAGCTCTGAGCCTTCTTGTTTCAACAACTTATGTAATTCTTTCTGTTCTCCACTTGTCTCTTATTTCTGTTTTATGAATTGATGTAGGCATTGAAATTTCCAAAAGGTTTGGGTATCAATTACTGCGGTATTTTTCCTAATGTTGCACGCAGCATTCTACATTTTTTAAAAGAGATTCTCTCAAAATGAGCTCCTAATGACTGTTGTAGGCAGCATATATCTAATTCTGTATAAAAAAGAATACATTTTATAAGGAAATGTGACCTTGAACAAACTTTTGGAAGAATATGGCCTTGTCCCTAGTGATTTTTTATTACCATTTTTGGTAGGCACATTTCAACATATATAATGACTCTGCAAAATTTAACAAAATCCTTTCCTATATTGCAGCCCTGATATGTCTAATTTTGCAGGGCATGGCAATGAGCCACTGTCCTTCTCCACTAAAAAATGGGGGGAAATGATCCTGTCTGGTCTTTTAATGGAAATGAGAAATCGCCTAAGTAAAACCATCCGATCCTCTCCTTTCCCCTCTAGATAGTCTTGCTACAAAAGCAACCCCAACCGGAAGTAGTTTAAATCTGTTTGATGAGATCCTGATTGCAGAAGGGACAGCAAAGGAAACTTCATATAATGATGTATGTATTGCATATTATTAATGCTGTGGTTGAAATGTTTAGTGATATATTGCAAATTCATTCATGCTTATTCTGTGTTAGTATGTTGTAGCAAAAATAACAGCAATTAAGTAATAGTGTAAAGAATTTGCATTAATTTTTCCAGCCTAAGCTTTTGTGGAATTTAGCCTAACTCGTTAGTTGCATAAATTCAATATTACTTGCAGCACTTAAGTAGAGTATAGTGGCTTTGACCATCATTGGATAATACTCTCAATGCACTATAGCAATAATTTGCAACTGAATTTTCTTGTGTTAAACAGGAATATCCAGTTGCAAACAGTTGCCATAGTGCACTGAGAGTGCATTGTCCAGCATGTGTGAAAGCAGCTTATGTTTTAAGCTGTTTATAAGATTCATATAATTTTTCAAAATCTTTTTAAAAAAAGCAAAGTACCCCATCTTATTTTATTTTTATAAAATCCTGAACTTAGTTTTTCAGTAAAGATAATTAGGTCTGGTGTTTCAAGTTGCAGCCTACAATTAGTCTTCCTAATGTCAATATTCCTGACTCAACAGTTGCAGGCCAAACATGAGAAATGTCTGCAGCAACTTCAAGAGTTGATGAAGAAGCTTCAGGAAATACAAGAACAGGTACTGTAATATTAAATGGTAGTTTGATCCATTCTGCTTTCTTAAATTGAAAATGCCATATACGGAGCTTTTCCATCAGCATTACTTGGATATTCTCAATTCACTTGCTTGGCTGCGGCAACTCTTGTCAATGAGAACAATACTATGACTGGCTTTTGTTCAGTGATGCTTTGAAAAACCCAAGAACCTCTGCAGTACACGTGGGAAGTTCTTGAAACCTTTCCTTAGCACTTTTAGTGTTAGATTATAGATTATATTAGACTAGTAAGGAAAGCCCGTCGTGGCGGTAGACGACGGGCCCTAGATAGGAAGGAAGGGCGAGTGGAAGGGAGGAATGGAGAAGAGGAGGTAGAGAGAGAGAGACAGAGTTAGAGAGGGGGGAAAGAGAAAAGGGGGGGAGACAGAGTGGGGTTTATGGTATTATTTTGGAAAGAAAGGAAGGGAGAAAGCTAGGCAGGAAGGAAGGAAGGAAGGAAGGTAGATGGGTAGAAAGACAGAGATTGAAAGAGTGAATGGGAGGAAGGATAGTTGAGAAGGAAGAAGGGCAGAGAAACAGAGGGGGGAAACAGAGTGGGTGAGAGAGAGAATGTTGGGAGGGAGATTAGTTTGCTGTATAGTGCCTTGTAAAAGTATCCTGTGGGTTGATTACAACTCTGTGATTTGTATGCAGAGAAACTCTTGATAGTGGAAAGCTTGTATACAGAATTTTGTGTGGGAAATAAAATGCAACAAAAATCTATTCTGTGAATTCATCTATTTGTGTGTTTTGGATTACATGCTTGGAATGGTATCCTATTTATGGCAAGCCTATATAGATATGTCAGAATTGCCTCATTTCATGACTACCTTTGAATAGCTATTCCTGAAGAAGATTTTCACAAGATTCAAGGATTACTCCTTTTAATCAACACATTGATCCAATGAGAAGGTCATTTTATGTAGCTAGCCTGTCAATTTCACAGTTACTGTACTAAATAATATATATTGCTGTATATATTGTATAAAAACATACAAAAATTGGAATCAGGAAAATGCTATGAATTTAATGCAGTTGCACATCTGAGATTGCAGGTGATTATTTAAGATTTTTCTGCATGTATTAGGGAACAGATTGCTCTGCTTCAAAGACTTTACTGTCTAAAACTAGAATTCCAAAAGCACTTATGGGGATGTCAGAACTATTAAACTAGGCTTGCGTTTATGATCAACTTTAAATGTTGCACTTGATATCAAGCCAATTACATCACAGTTGGTAATTAATTTAAATAAAATTGTTTTTAAACTAAGTTCTGGTGTCTTCTGTCTGTGCAGGTGTATGTTTGTAATATGTAAATGTTTGCATGTGTGTTTTTTTTAAGTAGAATTCCGCTCTACAAAAGGAAAACCAGTCCCTTAAAAAGAATATTTCGGCTCTTATCAAAACGGCAAGAGTAGAAATTAATCGCAAAGATGAAGAAATCAGTAATCTCCAGCGAAGGTACCAGCATCTAATGCTAATTGCTTTTTTGTCAGAATATAATTTATTTTTGCAAATATTTAGCAAGGACTGTAACTGGAAATGGAGTGAGAATGGAAATGTGCCTCCTAAATCGAAGTTTGTGGAGCTTGTTGTTATTATTAATACATTGCCTTTAATTAACATGGTGTTTTCCAAAAGACTAGGTCCCTGGTCCAGGGAGTTTATATGGGAGACGACAAAGGGAGGGAAAGGTGGTGGTAAATGGGAAACAATATGCATTCCTTCCAGTTGCATATGCTTAGACTTTTGTTTAGTAGGGAAGAGTGGTACCAAGGATTCTTTTTAGTAGCAAGGTCTCCACAGGAAAAATTTTTACTTTGAGGAAGAGTTTGAAAGAAGCGAGGAAGTAAACATCTTAGACAATGAAGTAATTTTTCTGAATGTATATCTTCTGAGAAATTACCTTTGTCAAAGTTTGGAGAGCTTATGAACAGGAGTACTTGCACTTGTATGAGGCTGAGCATTCTTGTTTCAGTTGGTGCACCCAGTGTTTTAGCATAAAGAGTGCTTCATTCATAAACTGCTGAAGTGTTGATGAAAATGCAGTTCTTTGATTTTATTGTGAATAAGGCTAGACTTAATGTAAGAGCTAGACACAAAGGGATGCAGCCTACAGAATAGCAAGGAACAGACTTTTGACTCCTTTCCCTTTCTACTGCAGCCCTTCAAAAATGTTTTGCTGGAATCTGTGGAACAGTATGGGGGACTGCACCCAGAAGGAGAAATGGGCAGATGTCCCTCCTTACGCACATATGTTAGAACCATGTATGCTACATATTTCTGAAACTTCCTGGAATGCTATCTAGTGGAGATGAATTTCTATCAAGTAAATAACAAATCTTGACACCGTTTTAAAATAAACTACATTAAAATGTTGTCTTTATTAACAGGTTATTAGCATTTCCAGTTCATCAGATTGCCTACAGTAGAACATACTTTGCAGCACCAATTAATAATAATGCAAGGAACTTTGTAGGATTGGAAAAAAATAAATGCAAAGATTTGCTTCTGGAAAAGAATCCAAAAATAGATTCTAGGACTAAACCTGTCATTCCTAAAGACGTTCCTCACAGTTATCTATCTTGTGATACAGAGAATCAGAAAATTCATTCAGAAAAAAGAAACACTCCATATGTACCTAGACCTCATCCTGAACTGCTTCACAGTGATGCTGATTCAAGGCTGACAAATAGTAACAATTCTTCTGACAAAGAAAAGGGGAAAAAAGAAATAAGAAATGATGAGCATCATAGCAAGGAGAATGACTGCAGGCACAAAAACAAAAGACACGAAAATATGGGCAGCATCACAGATGGAAAGTTGCAGGTTAAGCCAGAAAAAACAGTCGGACCAAGTAAAGACAATAAGAACTCAAAGCTTAAAAGCAGCCCTTATTTAGAACAAAGAACTGATACATTTCCTTCCCCTTTGGAGAAACAACCTCTTAATGATCGATTACCCTCAAAAACAGAATACTCTGGGAATGTTAGGAGTGAAAAGTCACAAAACATAAAGCAGAAAGATCTGAAAACACAGAACAAAGATGAAAGCAGTAGTGGACAGAAGACCAGTCCTGAAAGGAATCTTGAACAAAAAAAGAGGAAAGGTAATAACATTAGCGGTCCACCTGAAAAAATTTCAAGTGCTCAAAAATCAAGTAAAAGCTATGTGGAAGACAAAAAGGTAAAAGACAGCAGTAACAGAAAAAACAGAGGAACAAATAATCATGAATTCCAAAAAAAGAAACTGTTGTCCCCATGTCCTCCAACTTCTAGCAAAAAACACAAACACAGCTATTCTAAGGAAGAGAGTAGTAAACATGAAGTTGAAAGCATGCATTCAAAATCCAAGAGACATCGAACTGAAGAGAAAAGGGAAAACAAGAGAGTGACCCTTGGAGAAAGCAAGACTTTTCAGACTGAAAGAACAGATTCGAAGGAATTGCCGCAAAGAACAGCAAAAGTTGTGAATAAAGTTAAGGACTGCACTGTGAGAGAAAAAAATCAACCTTTCCCATCACAGGAAACGACCAAGGTAGCAGGTGGCTCGGAGGAGCAAAAGCCCACAAAAATTAGAAGAGATGAAGACCAGTCAAAAAGCAAAGACCTAAAACTGAGTTTTATGCAGAAACTGAATTTAACACTTTCTCCTGCAAAAAAGCAAACAGGTGAACTCAGACAAGTAGGACAATCCCCCAGTGGATGTGATGGAGAGATTCCAGGTAAACCTATTAGTACTACTGCAGCTAAGCAAAAAACCCCACCATCAGTACCAATCCCTGATATTCCTGTTCCAGCCAATTCAAAGCAAGTAGTTTCTATTTCAGATACCAAAGCGGAAATGGGAACTGAGAGCCTGTCAGAAATACTGAGTACAGAGTCATCTAAGGAAACATCAAACCTGCAAAACACAGTGCAGTGTGAACTGGTTGATAACCCACATGAAGCCAGCAATGATATTGGAGAAGCTGAGGAAACACTTAGGCTTCCTAGCATGGGAAGCCCCTTGAATCAAGACACACTTCCAGATGATAGTTTCAATGACTTGGAGATTATAAATTCTGTGGATTTTGATTCCTATAGTGTAATAGATGAAATTAGCGGAACAGATTCAGACTCGCTGATGGAGGTGGAAGACACTGGTAATTGTGAAGACGAAATGGTTGTGGAGCATCCTGGTAAAGAAAACAACCTTCCTGAACATGTGTCACAGGCTGTCAAGGAAGAACCCAAAGTATTGAGTAGAGATGTGTCAGTAACTGACCAAAAGTCATGTAACTCCAAGCTGAGCTGTCTTGACCAAGGAAGCCACTTAGAAAAGTTATGTAATAAAGGGGTAAAATCTGCGCCTCTAGCAAGCGATGCATACCCAGTCTCTGTCGATGATGAGAATTCAGTACTGAGCATTGATCTCAATCACATGAGATGTATTCCAAAAGCAATTAGTCCACTTAATAGTCCAATACGACCCTTGACTAAAGCACTCAGAGGAGAAAGCCATTACACAGGACCTGTGAAAAGCTTTAATACAGGTATGTTTAGTATCTTACCTTTGCTTTTATTGTTCATGTTTGCTAAATGGGGATTGGGGGAACACTGTAAATAGAAGCCTTTTTCAGTCATAACATTTTACCATGCATATGGGAAGAATGTACTACATGCAATACATGTAGAGATCTAAAGTTTCTGGAAATTTTGAAGCCCCAGGTGAAAAAGTGAGGTTTTCTTTATATTTAGTGAAGCAGCTCTGATTTTGCTTTAGAATGATACAGTGAATAAAATATTTGCAATTTTTACCATTCAACACACAAGGTAGTTAAATTTGAAGATTGTGACTAGAGATGTGAAGGCATAAGGTAAAAAAGACCCCCCTCCAGTTTTTCCAATGGAAAAATTGGGAATTATGAGCAGTCCTGAAAAAAACCCTATAAATATTTTCTCTTTTCAGTGAATGAAATGCTTTTAAAGATAGGGTGGGATGTTGTAGAATACAGTTCTTAAATCCAAAGTGTGTCTGTACCTTGAAGGGATACCAAATCTTCATGAGGGGAGCCATGCAGGTTGGGTTGGGGTTTGGGGAGGGGAGGGACTTCAGTGGGGTGTAATGCTGTAGAGTCCACCTTCCAAAGCAGCCATTTTCTCCAGGTGAATTGATATCTTTCTTCCGGAGATCAGTTGTAATCCCAAGAGATCTCCAGCACGAGGTTCTGGGGGTGTTCTAGGGGTGGGCAGGACTGACCCCAAGCCCCACTCCCAAGTGTGACCACCCCTCTCCCTTCCTCCTGCTAGATTTAAAGCCCCTCCAACTGATCGGCAGGCCACATGGTCCCCGCCGATCAGCTGAAGCCCTTTAAATCTGGTAGGAGGGGAGGGGCTGACCAGGTAGGAGGTCGCACTTGAGGGTGGAGCTTCCCCTGCCGGCCAGCTGGCCAGGGGCAAATTGGAGCTCTCGAAAGTGGGGGAACCCCCTCCTGAACTTGGGGGCTGGCAACTCCGTGCAGGGCTTTCATTGCTTCTCCGCAGTAGCTTACCTTCTGTTGTCCTTTTGAACTAATGTGGTTGTCATATTTACCTCTCTCTCAGATCAGTGACACATTAACTCTCAGTAGTTTATTGCCCTACCTTGCTGGAGGGAGAAAAAAAGATCAAAAGAAGGTGGGGCAGAAACTGCACCAAAGCCTCAGAGGAAAACTGAAAGTTTGATTGAGAACTTAGCTCTCTCTAACCAGATACCAACAATTAAGGTACATCTGCTAAGATAGCATAGAGTGCATCAGCTTGCAGTTTTCTCTCTAATAACTTTTAAATTCCATAAATGTAAAATATTGCTATTGTATATGCTAATTAAGTTATAAATGATGCATTTTTATATTAAAGCAATAAAATTAGGTTTGATAGGATAGTGAGTATTGCATATATTTCAGTTTTCCTCAAAATTTCCATTTTTCCCCATGGCTTCAGAATTTCCAGAAATTTTACTTCTGCAATCATGACCTACCCAAAGCCACCCAATATGGTTCTTAAATCCACAGAGATTTGAACTTGGCTTTTTTGCTCCCTGATACTATAATAATAATAATAATCTTTCAATTTATTAATCGCTCAATCTTTGCAGAGCTGCCGGCTCTGAGCGATTTACAGTTACTCATGTGTAGACACGGGACTAACGATGATGGGGGTAAGGGATGACAACATATATCATTTTTAATCACACACACTTCGCAGTCGACAGGGAGTTTGGTCAGCTGTAAGAATCAGTCGTGTCCCGGCAGCATTCTTTAGTCGGCGTCACTTGATGTCATGAGCATTTTCTCGGTCGCAGCGCACCACTGCCACCGTCTGGCCGGAATGGCCCATTGCAGGCTTTTATTTGAAGCTGTGTAGATCTCTCTCCGCTTTTGAGCTTACGCGCGGACCTTCCGTTTGTCAGCTAACACTTTCCCACTGGGGGGTTTTAAGTGTGCCCACCCTCTCTAAGGAGTGGTACCCATTTTATCTACTCGCCGAAGCTTTCGAACCGCTGGGTGGACGGCGAGCTGGGGACACGGCTGGTAGCTCACACCAGTGCGGGGCTCGAACTGACAGCAGTCCTGTTCAGCTCAGATGTTTAACCAGAGGATAAATCCCCTGTGCCACCGCTCCCCTATAGTAGTTGTTCTATGTTAAGAATTATGTAGCACATAGATTTTAAGCATATTTAGTTAAAAATGAAATCATTTATTTCCCCCCCCCCCCAGCAGAGCAAATCAAAATAATGTGATTAGAATCAGGGAGGAAGGTGTAGGAGCCTTGGGCATGCTAAGCACGCTAACAGAATACAACTCAGTTCTGAGCGATCACGTTGCACGACTTCAGTCCCCAACAAGTTTACCCAAGTTGTCCCATTACACTGCGTGGGTCTATGAGAATGACATCTAACTCCCAAACCATTTGTAGAACTTTGAGCTTTGTAGACAAAAACGAATGTAATGTAAGATTTACTTCCCAAGTGCCCAGATTTCTTACTTATTAAGGCACAGAAAGCAGCCCAATTATATTAAAAATCCTTGGCCTATCTATACTTTAGAATGATCTCCTTGAAGTTAGCGGGACTGTTTCAGAAGGACATTGCTTGAGCATTACTAATTAAGTTCTATGCATGAAAGCTGTTATCATACTGAATACTTGTTTCATTTTTATCCTGTCCTTTATGCAAGGATCTCAGGATGCATAAATTGCTCCCCTTTCAGCTGTATCCCCATAGCAACCATTGAGGTAGATTAGGCTGGGAAGGGGGGAATGAGCTTCATGACTGACTACGGATCTGGATCTTCTGTTCCATTTATTTCTGATATAAAATGTTGGTTTTTAATGCTGCCTATACTCTACTAAGTAATGTGCACAGGCCATAGCAGCTCTGAACAGTTAAGTGCACTGTTCTGAAACCCAATCAACTATTTGACTTAAATTGTCAGGGAAGTTTGTTCTGAGTCTTACTGCTGTTGGGTGCTGTGAATACTTAAACTGCCCTGTTTCTCCTAGATTTAATGCCTGAAAGTTCAGCTGTCTGTCCTGCAAGAAGCCTGTCCAGTGAACTCAACAAAGAAAATCAGAAGCCATTTGGCACAGATCCCCAAGTCTTAGAGACAGAATCGCAACTGAGCGTATCTTCAGATGAATTAGAAGAAGGTGAAATTGTAAGTGATGATGATAATTGTAATAGTGAAAGAAACTCCGAATACAGTAAAAAATCAAGAGGAAAATCATCTTCTGAAAAATCCAGTTTGATCAATAGTCCACACAACCCGAAACCAAAGACCATATCTTATGATGAAGACAAAGAAAAAATGGTTTCTGCAAAAAACAGTAAAAAAAACCCCAGAATTGGAACTGTGAAGTCCTCTAAAGAAACAAAGAAAAACAAAGCTGTGAAAACTGACTATCTTGAAAAAATAGTTCAAATTATTGCTGAGCCTTCTACTGTGCATGAGTTTATGCAGATGCTAAAGGCTATAAGAAAGCAAGTACGTAAAAACTACATGAAGTTTAAAGTACAGTTTCCAGTACAGCATTTTCATAGGATTATAGATTCGGCAATTTCAAATTTTACATCTCTAGTAAAATATCTTAACTTCTCAAAAATGTCTAAATCAAATGAGACCTTGAAGTTGAATCTCTGCGAAGTTATAGAATCCAGGCTTAAGCGAATTAAAAGGAATAGTACAGTAGATCATCTCTTTGAACAGCAACAATCAGATATGAAGAAAAAGTTGTGGAAACTTGTGGACGAGCAGCTTGATAACCTGTTTGACAAAATAAAGAAAATTGTCCTGAAACTGTGCAATTTAATAAATACTGGTAATGAGAATGGTGATGGTAAATGTAATAAAAGAATTAAAGAGAGCCCTAAATGCCTTATAGGTCATAAAACTGGTGGACAAAACCCAAAGAAACAATCTTTAAATGCTAGAACTCAAAAGGCTGAAGAACGTGTTCTTCCAAAGCCTGTAGTGGGCAACCAGATGTCCAGGAGAAGTCCTCATGATACAAATAAAATGGATGCACAAAAAAATACACTTATGAAATGTACAAGTTCCTATACAGATAATGCAAAACAATCTCAAACTAGGGTTGAACTTGTCAAAGAAAAATCTATACAGGATACTGAATCAGCTTTGAAAACTGGAAAATATGAAAAGGAAGGGTCACAACTGGTTGAAAACTCTCACAAGTCTGATGTTAGCTGTGGACCTCTCACAGAACAGCAGATGTCTGGCCTAACATTTAACCTGGTGAATGATGCTCAAATGGGCGAGATGTTCAAAAGTTTGTTACAAGGGTCTGATTTTTCAGAAAAGAACGAAGATTTCATGGATGAAAATCAGTGGGAATTCCGGACACCTGAAAAACAGCTTCTTAATGGACAGAACTGTGGAAACGATACTGTGTATGAGGCTGAAGAATCATTTCCAAAAGAAACCCGAATAGAGTCAAGGATACTAGATGACATTAAATGGCCTGTAGTTTCACCTGAAAGAGATTCAACTTTTTTAACTAGACTTCCAATGCCTGTTGATCCAGATATTCTAGATGAAAACTGTATGTTTGACATTCCTTCTAGTCCGGCTTTGAAGAAAAGTGAGGCATGCATTTTGGAAAAACCAAAATCACTTGTGTCTTCTATTCTTCTGGAAGACCTCGCAGTATCATTGACTATTCCATCTCCTTTGAAGTCGGATGCTCATCTTAGTTTCTTGAAGCCTAACATGTTTGGATCGGTTCCTGAGGATGTTCTGAGTGCACATTTCAGTGAAGATGCCCATCTTGAAGAGGAGGATGCCTCAGAACAAGATATTCATTTGGCTTTGGAATCTGATAACTCAAGCAGTAAATCGAGCTGCTCTTCTTCATGGACAAGTATGCCTGCTGCTCCAGGATTTCAGTATTGCACAAGCCTGCCAATGCAGGCAGTAATAATGGAAAAATCAAACGATCACTTCATTGTTAAGATAAGGCGTACCATACCATCTACCTCACCACATCTTGATCAGGCCTCTCTAGCAAATGACTCCATGACCTCTTTTATTGAGAGAGGGAATGATGAAAGTGTGTCTGAAGAAAAATTAGATACTTTGAATCCCAAAGACCTACCACTGGAAGAAATGGCACTATCTAAGGAACAGAACAATATTACTGACTCTGAGAATAAGGTGCATGATGATATTGAAAAACAGCATATTCTTAGTTCATTTGAGGCTACGGAGGAACTGTTGATCTGTCATGAAAACCATCAGCAGGTTCCAGAGCTATCTGAATTCCAACAGGAATCTAATCCTAGTGCTCCTGACAATATGCTTGAGTCTGTAAAGGGTCTGCTTAGTAATGCCAGACAAGAACAAGATTGTAACATGCCTGAGCCTCTTCATGAGCCACCTAGCAATACAAGTCAGCATCAAGGCACTGTTCTGATTGAAAATCAAGTATTGCATAATAGTACTGACCCAAAAGAAGCCTCTGATTTACCTGATCCACCTGTCGGGAAATCCTCTAGCTCCTTAGTGTCTTTTATAGATCCTTCAAATAAAACTTGCCATGGTGAAGATGTACCAAATGTCTTTAAGCTACCTCAGACACACTCATTGAAGGTGCTCCAAAAAAGAGAAGTATCCTGCGTTACAGCAGAACAGCTTCCAATCAATTCTGCAGTAGTTCCACTTATAGATGTATTTTCCTCTGAGGGCCAGTTTGCTGTAGATATAGATTTGACAAATGAGTCTCCTATGGAAAATGAAGTTGATTCATGGGATCTTACAGCAGAATCTGCTTTAAATGCTGGAATTGGAAGTTTACATAAAGAGGAACATGAACCAGCAAGCCTGTTGAAGTGTGATGTTGATGCAGTTACAGACTTGACAGCAGACTTGCCTGACAAGCCAACTGCAGATGAGAATATTGAAAGAAAAACCGCTTTAAATATTGGTAATCTGGTCCCTGGCAAAGAAAGCAAAAAAAGAAAAAGGGAGATTGAAGAAACATCCAGCATAAAAATACAAAGAAAGAGCAGTGAACTGCCTTGTAAAAAAAGTGGCAAAAATAGCAAAAAATCTAAAGAAACTATGTCAGTAGCTAAGAGTTCATCCAGTAAAAAGGCTGCACCAGTTAGAGACAAAGATTCTTCACCATCAGCATCTTCTGCGGCAACATCAAGTCTGTATGCCAAAAACATCATTAAAAAGAAAGGAGAAGTCATAATTTCTTGGACAAGGTAAGAATATCAGAAGTGAATTGGGGTTAGAAGCAATGCTCCCTCTAAGCTGTGGAGTCTTGTGAGCAAAAATTCTACTTTGTGAGCTACTGGCATTAAAATTGTGAGCGAGCGATTTGGCTACTGCATAAACTAGTTTGCTCTGGAGCCATCCTTCCTGAGCTAAGACAAAAATGTGTGAACCAGAGGCTCAAAAACTGAGCTAGCTCACACTAACTCAGCTTAGAGGGAACACTAGTTAGAAGTGTAGATTAGGTAGAAATTCAGTTATGTATTCCTCCACTTCTAATTTCTCCGCTGTGTTCAGCCTCTCCCAGGTTTGGTCTGAATGAACTGGAACAAATGTGTAGTTTGTACTTACCGCTGACACTAGGTTTTGTGATTGCAGACTTCTCAGTTTTCTGTTTGAGAGTGGTGATTACAGAAATGGAAAAGAAGGAAAGGAGCATGCTGAGACTGGGGTGGGGCAGAAAATATGTTTGTGTGATAAGGAGATGGTGAATGGTTTTGTTTTGAAGGGTGCAGTGTAGGTGTGGGGTTGGCCAGGCAGGGTATTGCAGGGGGAGCTTTGTGGCTCTGCTTCGGTATGTTTTGGAGGTGATAAGATCAGCATTCTCTATGTTAACATTGTCTAATAGTGGGCCCAGTAGTTCATTTAGGTTCACACACAGGGGGCCATCTTACATGTTTACTTGATAAGCAAATCAAACCACTAATCTCTTTAATGGTTGTAACTATGTCATATAACAATGAGCCCTTTTTGTCCCGTGAAAGTTATGTTTCCTAATCCTGAAGATGGTTCAATAATTTCATGTAGTTTGTGATTGGGCTGTCACAGACCACAATGAAGTAGTTAAAATGTGTGATATAGTCTGAAGGTGTATGTGTGATCCTGAGCTTTTCGGATCACTTACTGGGGATCAAAATAATTAGGAAGTATAAATTGATACTGTGTGTGTGCCAGTGCTGTTTTGAAAGTGTAAAAGAATTCTTTAAGCAAATGAAGCCGAAGATCAAGCATATTTCTGTTTTATGGAATTAAAGAAACTGATCTCAAAAAGACCCCATCTGTGTCGGGGACACTCTTAATTTTGATTGGTTGAAGAACTTGGTAGGGGTATGCACACACAAAAAAGGTATTTTTCTGGTTTGGATAAACCAAGTCCCGAAAAATATTGGTATATACTGCTATTCCCGAATCCCAATATTGGTGAGATACTGGGGTTCGGGAAAAATCAGTACTGCCGAATACATTCGGTGCCATTACACCCTATGGGGAAAGTGGCCACAGAGTAGAATGGCACTGAAGTCTTTCCTTCCCCAGGCTCAACTTCTGGTCAGTTTCACTCCCCACCAATTAGCTGGGGAGTGAAATTGACCAGTACAAGTAGCTGGGGGGCTGAGGAAGGAAAGACAGGGTGGGGAGGAAGAGGAGGCATGTTTAAATGCCACCACCTCTCCAGACCGGCTTACTCGGGCTCCATGCGGCTGCCGGGTGCCCAGGCAAGCCCAGGGAAGGCAGTTTAAACTGCCCTCCAAGGCTCGGCTTGCCCAGGCTCTCTGTAGCCATGGGGTACCCGGACAAGCCAAGGGAAGGAAGGGTAGGCAGAGCTGGTCAGTTTCACTGAAACTGACGGCTTCCCTACCTGACTCCTCCAAATAAAAGCCTAATAAGATTGGCTTTTATTCAGGAGGACATTATTGGCCAGCCGAATCAGATTAGAGAATCTGATTTGGCTTAACAAATCCCCCCAAAATACCGATAAAATATTTTCCGGGTATTTTTTCAATTCGGCAAAGCCAAATGCACACCCCTAGAAGTTGGGTCCTGTTTTAAATTTCTATGGACTGTAGACTAGTTTGAAGTGCTAACATGGATAAATGGATAGTAATTGGTTTTGTATCAAATATCCAAGAGTGTTCAGAGACTCAAGTTAACCCTCTATTGTTTTCTTTTATAGAAATGATGACAGAGAGATTCTATTAGAATGTCAGAAAAAGGGACCTTCAGAAAAAACATTTTCTTCTGTTGCTGCCAAAATAAATAAAAGTTCAAATCAGGTATGTATTTGGGGAAACAATTGTGTGTTTTTGTTTTTTTTTTTTAAATGGGTTTTAACATACTATAAGACAGGAAACTATAAGGGTAGGAAGGGTACATGGTATGGGGTAAGACATATAGGAGAATTCTATCAAATTTGTATAATAGCTGTTAAAATTTTTCGGTCTTAGTTCTTTGCTTCCAGTTCTATTTCTTTATAGAATTACTAAAGCTAATATCAGTCAAATCATTAAAATCTTTTGTTATGCTATCAGACATTGCAGGATACATTCTGGCTAGTTTCTCTGGTGTTACATACTACCTATAGAACATTTTATATAAATTCTCTTTAAAGGCAACCAATTATGTTATTTTAACATTTGTTTTCCATATTTGCAACCAATGGTCAAGATCAGTATTATAACCAAAATTTTGGGCCCATTTTAATATACATTCTTTAATCTTCTCATCCTCCGTCTTTATCTGTAACAAATACACATAACATTTCGTAATCAATTTATCATTTGTTTCATATAAAAGGGTGTCAAACTCCGATTGTTCTGCAACAAACCCTTGAGGTTTATCTTTAGCATATCTAGATTCTAGCTGTACTCTTGTCTACCAATCCAAATCTATATCTTGTTCCTCTAGTTCTTCTTTGGACTTCAACCTTTCTTTTTATCTTGTTCTTCATATCTAAATACTTTTTTCTTCTTCGATAATCTAGGTTGAGTAAATGCTTCCACTGGAGAGACCCATTTCAGGATCTTCGCATATATTTTATGCATTTTCAAAATAATTTGTTTTGCAAATTTGATTTTCTTGGCCATTTCTTCAGACAATATCACATTAATTTGATGTTGTATCGATTGTATTTTTATCTTCAACTCATTGACGGTTGGGTACTTTTTCAGCTTTTCTTCCTGCTTTATTAATTGATCTTTCAACTCCTGGAATTTCTTTGACTTGTCTTTTGCTTTCCTGCAAATTTAATTGCCATTCCTCTGAAGAAGGCCTTACTTGCATCCCAGACTGTATTTATAGAGATACCTGGTTGAATATTTTGTTTGAAAAAATGCTCTACCTCCTTTTTTGTCTCCGTCACAAACTTCTCATTTTTCAAGTGCTGTATATTGTTTCCAACTAAATTTCTTGGAAATGCCATTGATTTTAAAAAGTACAGGATTATGATTTGCAAAAGTCTTTGGTAAAACATCTGCTCCTCCTACATTCTTCAGCAAACTTCCTGAAATTCAACACATATCCATTCTAGACCAGGACTTGTGCCTTTGGGAGTAAAAAATAAAGTCCTTTGTTATTGTATTTCTTGTTCTCCAGGCATCAACTAAATTATATTCTTCTGCTAACTGTAAAAATGTCTTTGGCGGGAGTATTAGTCTGCCTCACGGCGTACATATGTGTGTCGTTGAAAGAAAACAATAGTGAAGCTACTGTATTCCAACAAGCCTTTTGGAAGTTAACCCTGTATTGAGTTCTACTGTTCCTAAAGTGGACCACTGTGGAGTTTTACTTTTCGGGGATTATAATTATAATTGTTAATTTCTCCTGTAGGCTAGTGATATTGTTAGTATTGGCCGTGAACTCTGTTTGTGGGGATCTATTTTGATCTATTTTACTGTGGGTGGGCTATATTTTATGTATTCTATTTTTATCACTTATGGGAACCAATAGTGTGCAGAGGAAGCAAGATGCAAATTCTTAAAATAACATAATAAATTCATTTATAGCGTATTCATTTGTGTGCTATTTTTTGTCTCTTATGGGACATGTTTCTCATGTAACCAATGTTCTTTAGCTGTATACATTATACATTATGTAAAGTGTCTTGTGGTATTATGAAGTTTGAAATGTTTAATTTCTTTAATTTGCAGGAGCGCAGAATAGTTTAAAATTCTATATACTAGATCTTCATAGGCAATATTTTGGATACTGCTTGGCCTCATCTTTTAGTCTGTCTTATGATGTTGGCATAAACCAGTAATTAGTTAGTCAGGATCTAATGGCAGGTAGAACATACTGTTAGCATCTGCTAAGAGTAGTGTCTGTTGGAAACATGGCCAAGAGTAAAAACATTTCATTCTTTACTCAGAGGCATTATACAAGGGCACTATAATTCCTTTTTAATTAACACTCTGGAGTCCCCACAGAATACCCTGGACAGACATTGTCTTCTGGTCTGTAGCATGAGGTTTCAGTGGAACGTAGGAGAGGAGATAGTCTCAGATGCATATTCAGCCAGATTCATTTGGTGACCCTGGGCATCTTTTATTAATTAGATAAAACTAAAAACTCATCAGTTCAGATCTCCTTTCACAAGAGTAAAATAAACCAACAACAGCAGTAGAGGCTAGTTGTCAGTCCAGCTACAGTCCGAACCCAGTCAAACTAATAAAACAAAAAGCAAGCCAATGGCAACATCAAGGCGATGCCACAGAACACAGGGAAAAAAAGAAAACGAAAGGTTTGGTTATACTAAGCTGACCCTGAACATCCATTCAGCTGGGGTCAGAAAGATAACTTACCAAGGACAACCATTTCCCAACCTACAAGCAAGTTTCAAGTAGGAAACAAGCTACAAATGATAAATCCAAACAAAAAAGAGAAAACCAATTAAAACCTGATAGAAAACTACTGCTACTGAAAATGAAAACTAAAATAAAGGAGTTTTTTCCCAGAGCACAGCTGTGCCGCTGCCCAACCCAGAACTTGGAACCCTTGGGCATCTGTTCCCCCAGCCCCTTTACTACAATAGACCACCTTACAAAGTTTTATGCGTTCTGCATCTCCTAACTGAATAGTAGTATATCAAAATTTCTAGTAGGGCTTTATTTCTTTGTGATAACTGAAATGTATTTAGTTCAAAAAATTGTTTTTCAAGGATTAAAATGCTCTCTTTCTCTCCACAGGTTGAAGAAAGATTCAAACAGTTAGTGAAGCTGTTCAATATGAGAAATTGCAGTTAGCGACTGTGTTGTTACTGGTGATGGACTCCTATGAGTGTTTATGCACTGTGTGTATATGAGAGAGAGATCCGAGTAGCTGCCTGTTGCTTATCTTGACACTTATAATTTAGATGCTGTACTTTATACATCATTTTAGAAGATGTCAGAGAACCCATAATGCTTAGCTACACTTCTAGGAGTAGTCATATAAGAATATATAAGGGGCAGTTAAGCAGCTGACTCAGTCTGTTTCAGAAAGTAGGAGCACTATGAAGTTTTGCAGTGTATTCTGTAATCCCCTTTGTTCATTATGGTACGGATATGCTGGAAGTTTTGTAGAGTAGTGTTATAGCAGCCTTTCCAAGTTTCTGCTGCTAAAGGCAACAAATGTGTTTTACATTCTGTGCACAGAGATGGTTTTTAATGGCTGATTTTGCTACTCCTTGCTAACTCAAAACAGCCTCTTTTAAAAGTGCATCTACAGTGGGCTTCAACACATGCTTTCAGGGTGCAGTATGAATATGTGCCTTAGGTAATTTAACCAAGAGTTACACAATCCAGTACTGAGTATAATCTAGAGAATACAAAGTGGGGATTGATCCAAAACAAGTCTCAGTCTGCAGTTTCTTCTGGGCAGAAAGATCCAATGTGCAAGATTTCTCTTTTAGATCCAGCCACCTGGGATTCTTGCGCAGAGCCCTCTGCAGGAGCAGTAATTGGTCCCTAGTGAACAGGGTGGATTTTATTCCCCTTCTAAATAATTCCTTGGTATGTCCTCTGAAATGGTTCTAGCTTCTACACATGCTTATGTGATCGGGGCCTTGATATATTCATTGTCTCAAGTGTAATAATTGGAAAGCAACTACTGGGGCATTGGGGGTATTTTGGCAACTATCTCCGTAGAACACCTTGTGCACAGCAGCAAAAATCCTAATTTCATCTGTAGTCTTACTTCAGAAAGGACAGGGTCCCAGATGAATGTAAGAGCTCAACATATTTCTTAAAGTGACTTACTGGTATTCTGATCTGGATTCTCTTTTTGGGGGAAGCAGGGGTTGTAAATTGTAAAGTTTTAAATGTTTATACTGTTGTAAATATGTGTACAGGGTGCCATAGTGTGTAAAATACATTGTTTATATAGTTTGTTTACCTGCAAATTTTGCCACATAAAATAAGTTTTATTTTGTATAAATCAAATACTGCATACTGAAATACAAGTCTGAAACTTTGTTAAATGAATGCACTTAATGTTAATTAAAAGCTGACTCAGAGTGTTTTTATACCATTTTTGTAAGTCATTGTTCAGTAAGAAGCACAATTGCATTTGTGCAGTATGCTGTGTGTCAATAAAGAGCATTTGTGCAGTATGCTGTGTGTCAATATACAGTTTTGTTCTCTGGTGCTAACCCAGCACTTGATGTATGTTCCACTAAAATCACAGAGAACCTGTCAGCTGAAAGCACTGAGCACCTGTAGGTACTAGCTCATACAGAAAAGGCATCCATACAGAAAACAGGTCATGGGTTCCATCTAAGGCAGTTATAGCAAAAGGGCACAGCATGTTTTTTAGCTAACAGCAAAAAGGATGGCACTGGACTAGAACTCTGCACATGGCATTCTTATTATCCCCCTCGCCCGAATTCCTATGTGATGGGTGCACTCCTTTGGGAAACAGTGTGACCACTCAGCAAATACTTATCCACCCTAAAGTGAACTGTTTGTAAGGGCTCTGAACACAGCCGTGGTAGTCATATGCAACAACCATTTTGTTCTCTTCCCCTGGATGTTAGTGCAGGCTGCTATTTAGTTGTACAAAGTGCTTTTTCTCTACAGTTTTCATTACCAAAGGACCCCCCCCCATCCCGTGTGTTCTGAAGTGTTCATGAGATAAAGCTAGATAAATACAGCACTGTGTCATATGCTTTATCACATTTGAGTGTGATAGGTGTGGCTGGGATTTACGTAGTGCTTTTGGGAGCTGTGATTGGCTACAGGTTTAGGGTAAGTTGCATGAAGACTTGGGGAAGGGGGGCTGGGAACAGGGAACTTTTATTTCTACTCTCTTATGTAGTATTTAGGACTTTTAAAAACATATCCCAGGGCTGTTATCCGTGTAATGTGGCCTGGCTGCTGGAGATGAGATGTGTCCTGGGGAGGTATAGGATGCTAACTTAGCCCCAGCCTTCTCCTGATAAGCCCCTGGAACTGTTCATTTCTACCAGTTTGTCATCCACTAATGCCTACACAAATGAGGCATAGAATGAGGTCCAGCATGTGGGAACAACAAATTTAATTCTATTCATTTCCTTCTTAATTGGTACTGTGGGTCGTTTTCCCACTGTAGTTAAAATAGCGAAGATGCATTTCCAGTTATTGCTTCTGTTGTAAATTGGTCACTTACCTCATATACATTTAAGCACTGCATAGGATTTTTTTCCTTTTGTATTTCATGGCTTCTTAGTTTTTCTATTTGATTTCTCTTTGTGAGTTGCCTAAGCAAAGCTGCAGGAAAGCTGGCCTGTACATTTTCTAAATATATCACTTTTTGCTCCACTTTCTTCCCCTGTGTGTCCATGGGTTTGAGTATGTATGCATGAGATAACATTTCATGAAACTGAAGTCCACAAATATATGTTAGGTCATAAGATACTTCAAGATGCTCTATTGTTTAACAGTTAATGGTCCCCTGTTTTCAAAGCTGATTTCGCTGAAACAGTTGTGCTTTTCATACGCTTACTCTGGAATAAATCTACAGAAATCAACTGTGACTGCTTTGTAAGCAAGCATTCATATAATTATGGCTCAGTAGCCTTTCAGTACTCTCTTTCCTAATGTCCATTGACTTTCAATCAACTGTAGAGCAGATCTTCAAAGAATTCAGCGGCTGCAAGCCCTACTGAAGTGAGTTGTGGATTAACTGGAATCCTATGATTATCACAGCCTTAGGGTATCATGTACTTAAGGCTGCAGTTGTACAAATAACTTTAAAAGTTTAATATGCATTCTCTCTCTGCTTCACACCAAATTGATACACCAAGTTGATACAGTTGACCATGGCCCTATTTTTTCCCCATTAGTATCTATACAAACAGCACTAAAGGGGGGGCTTGATCCTGGGCCAGGGAGAGGGACATCAAAGAAATCTCTATTATTGTTTGCCTTGCTTTATGTGAGCTCTGTGTATTGCATAGTGGGATAGGAAGTAGTTCTGCTTAAACAAAAGAGCAGTACTTACCAAAATGAAAAAGAAATCTGTGGAAATTGATTTCTTATTTTGAATCCAGTTTATCCTGGCAACCTGATCACTCTCCTCCCCTGAGCATCTAACCAATCTGTCTATCCCACTAGGCAATAGACTATGAAATCGGACATGACCGATTGATCACTAAGCATTGATTCACTCAAAAACTAATGGAATGTAAAGAGAACATAAGAACCCTGAGCTCCATGAAGAGTCCGTTTACTCATTTTGCAGAAGTAAACGCATTTACCAGTTGGCTCAGCAAGAAAGTCAACGTTTGGATCCAAATGAAATTAGCTGCGGCATCACAAAGCAATGAAGTATGTGAGGAGCCTTAGGGAATGGCTTGGGAGGAAACCACTGATGGAAATAATTGCACGATAATTCTGGCTAGAGGCTCTGTCCTGTTACCAGCCAGTCAATCAACCTCTGCCTGTGTACTCTGAACTAGTTGATTCTTCCATTCACAGAACTATGAATTATATTCAGTGTCGACGGTATCATATCTTGGAGTTTGCTGTACCAAAAACAAAAAAGAAGCTAACATTTAAAGATGGGCTATATACTATTAATTTGCAGAACTTGATTGGTTTATAATATTCCAGCAAGAGACTTACTGTTAAGGTAAGCAGCAGAATATCTGAATTAATTTCTAAGTAAAATCTATTGTTTTATATTTTTATTTTATAATAGTTTATTATAAACCTATTCTTTTAAATAGTTACAGCAGTGTTGGTATAAGTTCCCCTTCTATGAGAACAACATTTTCAATCTTTTATTTTCTTAATCATCCCTTTTCTAGATGTTTTACTTGGAGTATATTTTTTTACTTTAGGTCTTTCAGCCTAACCATAAAGATGTTTTGTTGAGTCCCATTTATTTCAATTAATGTTATTTCCACGTAATTTTGTCCCAGTTAGCTGTCTTATCTAGAAATAAAAAGGGGGTATAGAAATGTACATATTGCTTGGTAGTTCTGTGACCGAAAAATGCTGGCCTGCTTGAGCAGTGGAGGAAGAAAGGTAGACTAGCTTCTGTGGTAAGGAGGTACTTCTTCAGACACCATATATATTACCTAGCAGAATTCACTACCACAAGGTACAGTGTTGACTGTTAACAAATGGCTTCAACAAGAGACCAGGCAAATTCCTGAAAAAATAGGTCCATGAACAGTTATCAGCCATGATAGGTAAACCAAACTTCTGTGCACAGGAGCAATACACCTTAGAGTATTCCAAGGCTGAAAACAGATGGCTATAGTTTTAGCATTGTGGTGTTGAGCTTTGATTTAGTTAACTACTGCTGGAAAGGGAATGTAAGATTAGATGAAAACCCATCAGGCAAGCTGTGATGTTGTCAATGAACTATCAGTGGCATATTTAAAGCAACCATTCCTTGCTCTTAAGTTTTTTTTAAGGAACCAGGCCTTATTTCACTTTTGCTCTTCTACATAAGCTGTATAAATTTTTTCTCACTAAAATCATATCATCAGTTCCTTGAAATTATATTAGGGTTGCCAGGTCTGGGTTGGAAAATACCTGGAGACTTTGGGGGTAGATCCGGGAGAGGGCAGGGTTTGGGGAGGGGCCTCAGCATGGTACAGTGCCATACAGTCCACCCTTCAAAGCAGCCATTTTTTTCCAGGGGAGCTGATCTCTTTCAGCTGAAGATCAGTTGTAAAAGGGGGAGATCCCCAGGCCCCACCTGGAGGCTGGCAACCCTAAATTATATAGGAAGGCAGCTAAAGGGGAAAACTCACTGAACGTTGTAGTAAATCCTGTGATGACAGAGATACAGGAAATCCATTCCTGATTTCCCCTCTGAAAATTTCCAGAAGGGATGAGTGCTGAGATTTCCCCCTATATATTATTTTTCTATGCCAGGTTTACTTCAGATTCTGCACAGCTCAAAACGTAGGGAGCATCTGAACTGTTGGCAGAGTTTAAACATGCAGAGGAATGGAACACTAACTGTTTAAAAAAATAATTTGGTTTATTAAAGAAGAAATAAACTCTGATAGAACAGAGGAGAGAGAGAGAGACGCTTAACTAACTGCCTAACTGCTGTGAAAGGAATGGAGGGGGAGGGCTCAGTTGGAGCAGGAAGTCTCCAATGAACCAATCAGGAGATAGGAATTACATAATTTGCAATTGTGGGAAGTCCCTAATCTAGCTGTGCTAACTAGCAGTCCTTCAGCTGTCCCCTATAGGGTGTTCTTCTGATCTTCTTCAAGTTGGTGCACTATAGACCTTGTATATTCCAACACCCCTTCTCAAGGTCTGTTGTGCAAGTCCACAAGATTTATTTTTCTTTGTAGAATCTCAACTGTGCAAAACAGTGTTCAAGTTTAACAACTGTACGTTTAGAAAATCCATTTGTATTCTACCCTCCTTCCTGGAGGTGCTTCTGTGAATGTCCATTTCTGATTCTTGAGTGGAGATTTAATTCCATCCTCTGTGGCATTTCTCCGTCTTTCTGCCTCATCAGCAGTCTTTCAGCTGTGCCCTGTAGGTTGTTCTGATCTTCAAGTTGGTGCACGATACTGCTGTGCCCTGTAGGTTGTTCTGATCTTCTTCAAGTTGGTGCACGATAGACCTTGTCTACTCCAACATGAGCATCTTATGAAAGAGCAGCAGTAGCAACCATTTCAGCTGCAGGGTTATTTAAACTAGCAGTAGTCCGCACAGAGTGGTTCATTGGTTTTAATTCTGCAGAAGGTGCCACTGGACTCAGACTTTGTTCTGCTGCTTCAGACCAACATGGCTACCTACCTAAATCTCTCTTAATTCTGTGGGGTTTGCAAGGGCAATAGGGAAGATGAATCTGTGCTTATATTTGCATTTGCCTCTGTGGACACTGACAGAGGATAAGAAGTGTCTGAGTCCCTAGAATGCACATTAGTCTGAATATGTGTTTCCTCTAAGCTGAGTTAGTGTGAGCTAGCTCACAGTTTTTTTGCCTCTGGCTCACACATTCTTATCTTAGCTCAGGAAGGATGGCTCCAGAGCTAACTAATTTATGCAGTAGCCAAATCGCTCGCTCACAACTTTAATGCCAGTCGCTCATCAAGTAGAATTTTTTCTCACAAGTCTCCACAGCTTAGAGGGAACATAGGTCTGAATATGACCTCAGTATCTATGAATCTATATTTCTAGATTTTGTCGCTTTCCATTGCACAGCCAATGGAGGTTTAAAAGCAATGTGAGAGCACACTATTGCTGCTTTCTGACCTTCTCTGTATCCCAGCATGGAATTCAATACTCTGGCTGCACCTGCATCTGACTTCTTTACACATTGCACAGTTTGTTTGTTTTTTAAAAAAGATGTTAAGATGTTAAAAGATGCCAGCATGTAGGCTGAAACTCACCTACAACATATAAACAAAGCAAACACACTTTCTTTGCTTGCCTTATCCAAATCAGCTAGAGTTCTACTTTAAGATCTCTTTCCAATCTCAGGAGGTTTTCTGGATCTCTCCTACACCAGCATAGCAATATGTACAGTTATATTGTGCTTTGGAATTATAATTTCAAGAGCAAAGCTTGGTATCCCCTTCCTACAGAACACCCTTCAAATTGGACATCCAGTGAGCAGTCTGTCAAAAGGTCATCTATCGTATATTGGGATTCCACCCACCCACCCTGCAGTTTTACAAAGATCCATGGATGCTAGTTTCCCCAACCACAAGATTCAGGAATCCCAGGAAAAGCCTGCCTATGTGTTGCAACCCATGAAGCAAAGAAGATATTAGAAATACTTTCAAAATTAGCCCTTTGTGAGTCCTGTGTGTTCAGTGTGCTTTGAGCATACCAAGGTCAAATTTTGAAAGGTGTTTCTATGTGTTTTGTTTAATTTCTGTGGTCTTACCATGAAACTTACTGAGCGACCTTAGGCCTGTCACTCTGTCAGCCTGTCCTAACTCACGGAGTTGTTGTGAGGACTAAAACAGAGGAGCTGAGAACAAGCACCACTCTGAAATCCTTGGAGGCCTCATTTGCAAAGACATGGCAAAACAAAAATTATTTTTTTCCTCTGGTAGGAGTCAGGTGTTATGACCACATGTACTGCCTGGGAAAAGGCATTCTACAGTACTGGAATAACCACTGAGAAGGTTACTTGTTACTGATTACCACATGAAGCTTCCTGTATACAGATCCCCTTTGGAACATGTTCAGGACAGCACAGAGACCCGAATTTTGGGTAGCCTCTCTACGTTGGTTTAATACTGCATTTCTGCAGTAGTGTAATTTCCCACTTTGATGTTTTTAAAACTGCAGATGATGTGAAATTTTCCACAGTAGATTTTTCCTCACCAGGCACAGACCAGGGGTTTTCTCCGTTTTACTCCACATTTTCAGAATCCCCAGTTTTAGCAAGTTCTGAAAATGTGGGATGAGAAGGAGAAAACTTAGGGTCGGTGCCTAGTGAGGAGAAATCTACTGTGGAAATTTTCGCATAACTCAAAGTTTTAAAAACATCAAAGCGGGGAATTTCATTACTGCGGAAATGGTCACTGTTAAATTCCCAGCCACCGCTGTCTTGTTTCTTCCGGCTACATTTAGGAAAATGATCTGGGAGATTCCTTCAGGTTATGTTGCCCCTATTATAAACTCCTATAATGATGGGCTTTCTTCCTTTCTTTAAATCAGTAGAAGATATGCCATAAAGAGACAAATATTTTTGTACATACTCAAATTCTCATAAGACAATGACACACTGTGATCATTCAATCCTTAACATTATGTTACAATTTTATTTCAGAGATGAACCCATGACTATGGGGGACTGGAACTTGCTGGGCAGCATCCTAGAAGAAGTACACATCCATTCCACCATAGTGGGCAAAATTTGGCTCACTATCCTTTTCATATTCCGTATGTTGGTCCTAGGTGTAGCAGCTGAAGATGTCTGGGATGATGAACAAGCAGAGTTTATTTGCAACACAGAGCAACCTGGCTGCAGCAATATCTGTTACGACAAAGCTTTCCCCATCTCTCTTATCCGATTTTGGGTGCTACAGGTCATCTTTGTCTCATCTCCTTCTCTAGTTTACATGGGTCATGCACTTTACAGACTTCGGGCTCTGGAGAAAGAGCGGCAACGGAAGAAAGTCCACCTCAGAGCCCAGTTAGAGGAACTGGAGCCTATTTTAGAAGAACACAGGAGGATAGAGAAAGAGCTGAGGAAGTTAGAAGAGCAAAAGAAAGTGAACAAGGCACCCTTGCAAGGGTCTTTGCTGCGGACTTATATCCTGCATATTCTGACCCGTTCAGTATTAGAAGTAGGCTTTATGATAGGTCAGTATCTTTTATATGGGTTTCAAATGTATCCGCTTTATAAATGCACTCGCCCACCCTGCCCTAACACTGTGGATTGTTTTGTATCCAGACCAACAGAGAAGACCATCTTCATGGTTTTCATGAACAGTATTGCAGCAGTTTCTTTGTTCCTGAATGTCCTGGAGATTGTCCATTTGGGGATTAAGAAGATTAAAAATGCGCTTTGTGGGAAACCCAAGAAGGAGCTTGTAGCTGCTGACGAAGATGCCAACCTTTCCAATTCCAAGAAAAATTCAGTGTTGCAGCAAGTTTGCATTATGGCTAATTCATCCCCCCAAGGCAGTTTTAAATTTATGCCTGAGAAGCAGGCTGGTCTGCCACTGTACATGCCTGTGGAAGAAGGATACACAATTACTGAACAGAACCAGAACCCAGTAAATGTGGACATGGAGGAACAATGGTGCAGCAACCAGAGAAGCAGGTCAAATCAGAACCAAGGCCAACTCCATCATCTCTACAGGCATCTGGAACACCCGTATGAGAGTGATCAGCACTACCGACAGTCCCACAGGCATGTCCCAAACATTGTGGGCCAGCAGCATGATGATTATCAACATCAGAATGCATCTTCCAGCAGTGAGGACACCCAGAAGCCATCACTGCAGGGCACAAACAGCTATCGAAAGAATGAACAGTATGTTCTGGAACAGTCCAAGAACCTGCCACAGTCTGCCAAGGTTTCCATTAGCTCCAGTCGTACGGAGAGCCCTCAAGCAGTTCTCCGGAAATCCAGTCGCGTGGTCAGCTGTAAGGACTTGGCAGAGGATCATTGTGACTCTCCAGACAGTGGGCATTATCAGAATAACCGCAAATCCAGCTTTCTATCCAGGGTGCTGTCAGAGAGCCAGCTGGACACCGATTCAGAGACTTCGGACTCAAAGAATGGCTCTGGCTCAGAAGCAAAACAAGGAGATGGCAGCAGTTCCTCCGTCACCCCACCACCTCCTTCAGTAATGGGACGCAGAATGTCAATGGCAAGTAGACCAAAGCGGAATTCCTTCTATATCCTGCTAGTGTGAGTTATAAACCTTAGCTCGGACCGCCATTGGGTTTTACATGCCAGCCTGGAATGATATTGAGATATAGTAGATACAGTCCTTGCAGGTTTTGCTGCTTTGTTGGCTGCCATGAGTCTGAGATGATAAGGCAGAGAAAAATATGTTAATTTTTTATTTAATGACCATTTAGGATGCTTTTATGGAGGGAAGAACCTTTGAGAAATATGTTTCAATTTTTAAAACAAAGCATAACACATGTAGACACCGTGGACTTTGTGGATGTTTTATTTTAGAGGGAAACAATCAGAAGAAAAAAGTTGTTTGTCATAATGCTAAGGCTGTTGTAAACCTACAGATGATATATTAAACATCACTTCCTCAGCACTGCTACTTAGATCAATTTTGGAGCACTCTGGTTGCCCATTTTTAAAGAATTTTTTTAAAGTCAGGAGTTCCAGTAAGATCTTCTATGCTATTTTTGGTTTATCCCTCAGCCACAACAACGACCTGTAATGAGGGGATTATAACCTTACAAGTGGTGACCCACAACAAAATGTTGCAGATTGTGCTGCCGTTCCCAAACTTTCCGCTCGGCAGCCGACTGCCGAGAGTAAAGCAACAGTGCTGGAGCCAGGTGAGTGTGTGAGAAGAACCCTTGTTCGCCCACCCTCCCGACTCCAGCAATGTTGCCTCAAACTTGGAGCCCAGGAGCCCAGAGGAGGGTGATGGAGATGGGTGGATGAGTGAGGAGGAGCCTTGCTCATCCATTCGTCAGCTCCCGGGGTTGGGGGGATGGCATTAGCAGTTTCTTCCTCCTCACCTGCAACTTAAACAGTTGTGGGGGAGGGCAGTGCCTGCCTGCCCATCCTTCCGTCTGCTGCGTGGCAGTGGTGTGTGTGTGTGGCAGCTCCTGGCTTCCCTCCTTCCCCTGCCCACCAACTAGCCAACCTGGCTGGCTGAAGGTGGAGCATCAGTGGCTCCTCTGAACCCACCTGCAGCCATCTCATTAGTGGGGGTGGCTCTCACTGTTCATTCTGGCCCACCAGCATATGGGCTCACCTAACTCCTCCTCCTCTTGGCCAGTAAGTTTACATTGTCTGGTTAATGCAGACAACTTCTTCCTCTGTTTGGTGGATTTATACCCCCCCCTTCATGTTTTTAAAGTTCTCAGATTTTTTTCCCCACAAACCTGGGGGAGTCACTCAAGCTGGAAGAAAAACTGTTTTCTGTCTCTGTGTCTCCCCTCTGCAGATTTAAGTATTTGCAAATGGGGGCCACAGTGGACTTTTAGAATATAGGCTATGGGTCTTGAAGCTGATACTTGGCATCCAATCCTCTGCTACATACTTAGCTTCCATTGCCTCTTGCTCCCAATGGTACTTCCAGTGTGAGTGTATACTCTATCTGCCCCCTAGAGGAGAGGAGGCCATATTGCTCCAGAAAGCAGATATGATCAAAAGACAAAAAACTATAGGTGTGTGTTAAGTCCCCTAGCCCAGGCTTGTCAGAGCTTGGAAGCTAAGTGGTTGGCCCTGGTTAGTGCATGGATGGGAGAGCCTTGCTCATCCATTCGTCAGCTCCCGGCGTTGGGGGAATGGCATTAGCAGTTCCTTCCTCCTCACCTGCAACATAAACAGTTGGGGGGGCAGTGGTGTGTGTGTGTGTGTGTGTGTGTGGCAGCTCCTGGCTTCCCTCCTTCCCCTGCCCACCAACTAGCCAACCTGGCTGGCTGAAGGTGGGGCATCAGTGGCTCCTCTGAACCCACCTGCAGCCATCTCATTAGTGGGGGTGGCTCTCACTGTTCATTCTGGCCCACCAGCGTATGGGCTCACCTAACTCCTCCTTCTCTTGGCCAGTAAGTTTACATTGTCTGCATAAATGCAGACAACTTCTTCCTCTGTTTGGCGGATTTATACCCCCCCTCTCATGTTTTTAAAGTTCTCAGATCTTTTTCCTGCAAACCTGGGGGAGTCACCCAAGCTTGAAGAAAAACTGTTTTCTGTCTCTGTGTCTCCCCTTTGCAGATTTAAGTATTTGCAAATGTGGGCCACAGTGGACTTTTAGAATATAGGCTATGGGTCTTGAAGCTGATACTTGGCATCCAATCCTCTGCTACATACTTAGCTTCCATTGCCTCTTGCTCCCAATGGTACTTCCAGTGTGAGTGTATACTCTATCTGCCCCCTAGAGGAGAGGAGGCCATATTGCTCCAGAAAGCAGATATGATCAAAAGACAAAAAACTATAGGTGTGTGTTAAGTCCCCTAGCCCAGGCTTGTCAGAGCTTGGAAGCTAAGTGGTTGGCCCTGGTTAGTGCATGGATGGGAGACCACCAAGGAATTCCAAGGGTCACTATGCAGAGGAACGCAATGGCAAAGCCCCTCTGTTCCATCTCTTGCCTTGAAAACTCTATGGGGTTGCCATAAGTCAGCTGCCGTTTGACAACCCTTTTCACACACACACACACTCAGCTGAATAACATACATCAAATGTGTACACAGACCTGCTCCCAATGCTCAGGTTTCTTATCTGTACCTCAGATGTATGTGACCTGTGTAATAAGGTGGAAACTATCTTCACAAAACTTACAGCTCAGTGACCGTTTTCATAAAACAAGTATAAGAAGAAAGTGCAGAAGGGTGTTGGCCTTTCATGCTGGAGAAAGTTTCTGCTCCTTTAGCAGAATGTAGTGGACCAGTCATCTTCTGTTATGGCCATGCCTTGCTGAATCTTTCTGCTATCCCAGCATATGATGTTTGGTATTCCATCACTTCAGTACAGTAACTGGCAGTAGCTTGCCAGCTATAACACACGAGCAAGCTGATACTATGAACAAAACATTACCATGTTTCTGCTGCCACAATGTGTGGTTGAGAAGATAGGCACATGCTAATATACATGTATCTGTATGAATGAGGCCCATTTTTCAAGCTGACCAACTTCACTCTGGGGAACCTTAAGTGTAAGGATGGAAACCTTCCTTCAGCTGCCTCTTACTCTCATGCTAAAAAAACTGCTAGTTTAGGTTTTGAAGCCTGGCTTGAAGGGGATGGTGCACATATGGATATTAACTATGGAATCCTTTTTGATAATGTAATGGGACTGCTAGCAGGAGAGGTCTTAGCCAATGGGCAACTGGGGTAGTTGCCCCAGGCACTGTATTGGGGGAGCTCCTGACCACCCACAGTCCTGCTCCTCCTGATGTACGGAAGAAAAGATAAGATTCCTGCTGGCGCCATTGGTCTTGCTGACTGCATTCAGTGCTTGGGCTGCCCACTCACAGCAGTGGCAACCCACACCCATCCTTGTCCGGGGCTCAGGCAGCTCACTTGGTAGTAGCCACTCACCCCTTCCCCGCCTGGGGTTAGGGCAGCCAGCTTCTTGACAGTGCTAACTTATGTCACAAATTCTCTGTTATATAATGGAAATGAAATATAGCTTAATTAAACTTAAAGATATTTATACATCTTCGGATGAAAAAATTACACAAGTTCTTCTCAATTGTATTTATGCTTTCAAAATAGTTTGTTATATACCCAGGAGGGTTATGCATTGGATGTATAAGTATCTATAAGTTTAATGAAGCTATATTTCATTTACATTATATAACAATAGAGAATTTGTGACGTCAGTAAGCATGTTGTGTTTCAACTTTGGTTTACACAATCTTTCCTGTGCGCTGTTTTGGTTTACCCAGCTTCTTGACACTGATTTTGCACAGATTTTGCCCCTGACCCTTATTCAGCCTCAATTGGGGGGGTGGCAGGAGTAGGTGGTCCCAACAAAGGAGTGGCAGAGATTCTGGGGCCTCATTTCGGACTTTTGCACAAGGACTCAGAATTGCTAAGACTGCCCATGACTCCATGGTAAGTTTGAAAAGAGCACCAGTAAAACCACAGAGAGATTTATTGAGGGAATAAAATACATCCAAGCAATCATAATAGCAAGCATTCCAAAATGGTCAAAAGATCTTAACACCCACCACCACATGCACCACTCAAGAAGGGGAGAACAGAAGTTCATGGCAGTCTACCATTGCAGGTCCTGAGTGGATTCCTTCAGGTAAAGGTATTGGATATCTGGGCAGCTAAAAATCCGAAAAGGAAACCTCAGAATTATAATAATACTTTCGATTTATTGATCGCTTTTTCCCACACACCTGTGGGCTCAGAGCGATTTACAGTTACTCATGACATTTGGACTAACAATACTCTTGAGGGATAGGGAAGACAACATACAGTATTTTTAATTACACACATATTGTAGCTGGCCGGAGGATTCATCTGCGGGCTGGATCAGTTGTGTTCCGACGGCATGTATTCTTGTCGGCTGGCTGATGACGTCAGGGCTTCTTGATGTCGCACTGCCACCGCCTGGCTGACTAGCTCCGCTGCAGGGATGCCAAAACAGATCTTTCATCTTTTGATCTTGCCGCGCCACAGAAGTCACACTCGGCAGCTAACACCTTCCCAAAGGGAGGGGTGTGCCCACCCCCTTACGGGTGGTCCCCAATTTATCTACTTGCCGAAGCTTTTGAATCGCTGGGTAGATGATGAGCTAGGACAAGGCTTGGTTGCTCACACCAGCACGGGGCTAGAACTGACAAAGCTTGGCAGTTCAGATGTTATAGTTAAGCAGGGGAATTATCCCCTGCACCACCGCTCCCTCCTATATAGATGGGGAGGATTAGGAACAGCTGGGGGGGGGGCTGCTTGTGGCAGAGACTCAAGCAAACAAGGCGCTTGGAGTTTTCCCCACAAAGGGACTGGACTCAGGTTCCACGACAAGATCAGATAGGTAGGGCAGAGCAACATATGCATCTGGCTTCAGTTATATAACTTGGAATGGAATAGATTGTGAAAGAATCCTTTTTCCTGCCTTGTGAAAATGGAGGAGAATCCAGTTTAACTCAGAAGAAAAGTGTGGCAGAAGAAGTTCCTGGCCCCTGGCAGTTTCTCCAAATACGTAAAGCAAGGAAAGTCTTGGAAGGGGAGAGGAAGCATTAAGTGGTCTCCTTGGCTA